GGGGTTAGGGTTAACTTAAGCACCCAGTAGAGAAACATTAATTCCAGAATCCAAACAACTCTAGTTTGGGTAGATTTTAACAATATTTACATGTAAGTAAACATATTTTTTCTTTCCTGTGTTTGACGAACAAAAGCTCTGTCAGGTCATGTGACTTCACCCCTAGTCTGATGACCAGATCCAGCCATTTTGAGTGCACTAAGATTTGTCAAGATTCATCAAAAATCCTCATCCAGGCATGTGCTAAATAATTTTTCTTTATTCATACTTTTTTGTGGTGTTGCGGTATGTGTGTACAGTACATAAATATTGCTGTTTTATCTCATAATTTCCCTCAAAAATCACAGTCCTGCCCACTTTTCACAAGCAAAGTCTTTCTCATATGGAAGAGGACATCACTGCCAACATACATGTATTAAGTACATGTAGACTTTGTTTCCTTATCATACATGTAGGAACAGAATTCTAAAGGTAAGCAACTCACTAAAAATCAAGTTTACCAAAGAAAATATCAAAACATTTAAAATGTTTCTAACTAGTCCCATAGGTTTGTGCACAGGACATTGCGTGATCTCCGTCTAGGGAACTCTTTCCGTTTTAATTTGAATCCAGCTTATATTTCCTTAACGTATATAGCCCCTAAAACTGTGAGTTCCATTGCGCATACATGTACATGTATTTTGCCAACATCCAGTCACATATCAGTGATTGTTAATATTTGAACGTGACTAACCAATTGGCTGTGGCTTTGGGAGAAAATGTGACTTTGTTATCTTTGAGCAGTGATCTTGGAATCTATTTTGTGTGACTTTAATCTTTAATACTAGCGCCCTAGCAAACAGCTCAGTTTTATGATGCTGTAACTAGTGTCAAAGACTTGATGTACATGCACAGATGATACTTGTAAAAACCCTACTGGCTTCCCTCAACGTCAAAGGTCAACTAACTATGACTTCAGTGGCACTCACGCTGCTGTCACATTATTTTGATAGTTGAATAACTTATTGGAAATCTTAAGTACTGTTAAAAATGTATCATGTATCCTCTCTGACCACTTCTTTCTTTTTATTGTCATTCTTTGTTTTCCCTTGCTTTTCTTTTTTCTTTTTGAATAGTTCACTTAATCCCTTGTTGTTAGTTATTATAATTATCAATTCAATTGATACCAACTATGGTTATTAATGTGAGCATGAATAGTACTGTATGTTGTGTTTCTGATTTTCTTGTAAACTTAAATACATGTACTGTAGCTTGTTTGCTTGAAAAATTGTAATATAACTCATTTAATTAGTGACAGGTTCCAGATCTTGTACTGGAGCATTTGCTTTTTATCTGGAATCCTCATATTATTTCTGCTATTTTGATATTACATGTATATTTTTGTGAAAATTGTATTTATGATGATAGAAATACACGAAACTAACTTCTGAAGGAGTAAATTGATGCTATTCAACCACGTCTGCTCACATGGCATGCTTTGAAATGGTAAATGTATTCAAATCAGCAAAATAACTGGCCAAGTTCAATCAAGGACCACTTTTGTTAACCATTTGATGATTTTTGCCTGGTACCTACTACATTAGTCTACATGTAAGTATGGGTTACCAGGCAAAATCTTCCAGTGCTTACCCATGTTTGACACTGGCAAATATGACACAAGACTTCCGCTACAGCAACAGATTCCATAGGGGCATACTATAATTGCAGGATTGGCCATCAATGTTTTTAAGATTTTCAGACGTGTGCAACAGAACAATAAATTTTGTTCATTTGTTGTTGCATGTATGTGTCTATTCACAGGTATTTTTATTGGAGCAGAAGTTTATTAAGGAACACTTGGCATGAGCACTGCAGGGATGGATGCAGAGGCTGACCATCTTCCATGTAACAGGACAGCAATACCTGCCCAATCAGGTCAAAGCTGTCTGAACGAAGATGTATCCAGCACAGTGAACAACGAGTGTATGGTGTGCTCGGACAAGGCTACAGGTTTGCACTACTCTGTCACCACCTGCGAGGGTTGCAAGGGATTTTTCAAGCGGACTGTGCAGAAGCAGTTGAAGTATGCCTGTCGGGGTGTGGGCCAACTGGGGGGTTGCACCATCACAAAAGAAAGCCGCAACAATTGTCAACACTGCAGATACAAAAAATGTCTTAGTGTTGGCATGAATGTGGCTGGTAAGTATGGTACATGTCCATGTAAGAAGGGCATGGACATGACCATTAACTGTGTAAAAGACTTTAGAAATGTGATTGACTTGGAGTGACTTGTGATTGACTTACAAAATCACCCAAATCATCTGATTAAACTCTGATTTATATGTATTGTACCGGTAGCTGTCAGGGAGGACAGGGCTCCTGGTGGAAGGCCTCATGCTAAGAAGCTTAGGTCAGATCAACAGCAGCTAGATCAAGATCCTCAGACGCACGGCCAGCCTACAGGTAATCATTGTAGATAACCATGACTCCTCTTACATCAAGTAATGGCTCAGTTTTAAACTAATGCATTTGAAACTGGGGAGGGGCCTGAGGACAATAATGGACCAAGCCAAAGGCGAGGTGTTGTGATGTACTAGTTTAAAATCAATCCACTGCACTTTTATGCCCATTCATAAACTCCTTGTCTGAAAAAAGAAAACACCAGTCAAAAATTTATGGAAACGGCTTGAATAATTAGTTAAATGTGTGGTTTGTGACACTCCTCTTGCCTCATCAGTGGTATGTGCCTTGAATGCACCGTACTTAAATCCCCCAACATGTACCATTAGATTATAAGCAGTAGCTGTTGTTATCCTAATAATAAAAGCTAAACAATTTGATTTCTATCACAGAGAGAGATCCTAGTGAGGAGCTGTTTGATGCTCCTGCAACCTCATCAGGGACAGATCAGGACATTGGACAAGATGACTCCTTCACTGAAGAGAAAGCCGGTGATATGATCCAGCTTCTGGAAGAACTGAAAGCCTCCAGACCAGACATAATACCAGTTAAAGGTACGATCACAGTCTATCTCAACGGCGTGAGATGTGTGGAACCTTGTCAAACTGTTGGTTGTATCTGTATTTGGTAAAAAGCGGAGCGCTGACTTTCCCCATTCACTGAGTATGCTTTTGTTTGTGTACTGTACAATTTAGCGCGTACGGTAACCGCAGAGGAGTAAAATACAGAACAAACATACATGTAGTTTGTTGGAAACAAAGGCTTGTTACAGTAATTAGCGTTGAAATATCTATGACAAAAATAAAAACCATGACTGTTGATATTTGAAGTAAAGGCATCAGAACACCAATGAAACTTGAAGTAGCAAATGTACAGTACATCTGAAGCAAAGCCTGCTGCATGCTTGACACAATGTCATCAGTTGCGGTCCAACCCAATTTTGTTGTTGTTTGGTGCATCAGGTAATGAAGTCAACCATGATAAGCCCATTAATACTATGATGCAGTGTGGCTACCAAGAACTCCAACTTATCATCAGATGGGCCAAGAAAGTACCCGGATTCACCAATCTCTGCATTGGGGATCAAATGTGCCTTTTGAAAAGCTCCTTCCTGGAACTTAACATTCTTCGACTTGCCTACAGGTAGGAGTTGGCAAGTCTTTTTGATTTTTATGCAAAGTTAATACAAATATTTTTACATCAGGGCACCCGTTTATTTCTGTGGTTCTCAATGGGAGCAGTAGGCGTTTGAAAAATGAAAATGTAAGATTTGCATTCTTACATGTAAAGCTGGTTAAGTGAAAAGACACCAAGTCAGTGTTTCCTCAATCGTTTATGCATTGAGCTCTTTAAGAATTTTACGTTAAATAAAAGTAAAGCCCTCCAGGGCTGGAAACTGGGCTAATCATCATGGGAGCAAGTACTTGCTCCCTAGACAGCTGAATTTGTCACTTTATGGGAGCAAGTAGTTCCCATAAAATATTAAAGACATATGTTCAAGAAAAAAAGCAAAGACCCTGGTCCTTGCTGTTGCTTAAATTAATGACACTGATAACTTACGGCTTAGACTTTGGCAGATATTAAAGCCTTTATGGAGTTGTTATTTTGGCAGGTTGCACGCGACGGACAACTACATGTAGTAGTGAGTACCTGACCTACCGGAACCTCAAACATGTGCTTAGCGATGCTATGCAAAAAGTCAGGCACTGGGCCTTTCTACCGTGCATACGCACACAGACGTAAAAGGGAACTAACTGCAGCAATCAAGCATTTTTGAAACAAGTGGATTAGGCTGAGACTTTGGTTTCGATGGTTCCAGTTATTTTGGAGCATGGTTCAAAGCCACATGTTCAAGCTATGACTGGAACCAGCGAAACTGAAGTCTAAGCCGAATCCACGCGTTTGGCTTGAATTTATGCATGAGGGGCCAGTTCCCATACAATCGTGACAATGGCCACGGGTATGCGTGTGTGTACGTTCATGTGTGTGCATGCATCGCATGCGAGACTGCGGTGTGCGCTCGGTGACATCGTTAACAAAATTGTACCTTGTTTTGTGACAAGGCTGATCCGAAGCGAAGTCAAAAAGTTCAGGTATTTTTCATGACAAAAATAGAAACAAAAGGTAAAAATGTTCAGGTACGTGGAATCAAACGGGTGTAAGTACTTGCACCCGTCATTATGATTTATGGGCGCATTTCTGGGACAAATGGGTGCATTTTAGCTACCCGTGCCCGTTAATTTCAAGCCCTGTCCTCTCTGGTAGACGAATTAATTCATATAGCATGCACCATCAAACTCATGAATGTTTGGGATGTTGAAGGCTCCCATGATGCAACAGTAAAGGTACAGTGTATGTTGACTGGAGACTTGACTTCTAATATGGGGACAGGTAGCTTATTGTTCATGTGGAGTCGGGTTGGCGAAGTAGTCCTTTCATCTTGGTGACCCTATTTGATTCCTGGCTTGGTCCACATGTGGATTGGGCTTTCAGTCCTTATCTGATTCAGTGGGTTTTATCTAGAGGTTTCTTCTCTGGGGTTTTCCTCCCACCTCTAAGACAATAATGTCTTCTTAATGTCTCCTCTCTGTAGATATAAGTTGATGTGGGTCATTTGGCATCTGCCTGAGGCACCCTTGTATGTCATTGGCTCGACCAAGTTTAATGTCTTCATTGTACAGCGCATTTGAACATTTGATTTGTATAAAATTTGTGCTTTGTAAATGAATAAATTGTTAATTGTTGATACGTGTACCAGGTACATGTATGCTGCTTTGCTTGTACAGAAATCTTGTTATATAAGTATAGTATCCCTCGCAGGTAACAGAAAGGTTGGGTAAGACATGGACCTCATTGATACTGTGTGCCCTCTCCCAGCGCTTGGCCTGTGCCCAATGTGTAGATATTTTTTAATCAACGAATAAGTGAATCTGTATTTTTCGACTCAAATATTGCCAGGTGCAATCTGCACTGAGTTGAAATGCACCCTCATGGGCAAAGAAGGAACAGGCTGGTGGGAAGTTTATCAACCGAACTTGTGCACGTGCGCGGTGCACATGTGAAGACCATGCATTCCAACATCAGTTGGTTGCACGTACTCACTGCACCTCTCATCAAATACTCATAAACCTACGTGCTTAAGCATTGACTTCCCACCAAAAGGCTGTTGTTTCCAATTGGCCCTTGTGTTTTGAGCAGATACTATGAAACAAAAAGGAAAAAACCTCGGTTTCCTTGCAACCAAGTTGCTCTTTTTAAGCTTATTCAATAAAAGGAAATGGTAGCTCTCCTGGTTACTAGCTAATCCTAGTTATAATGATTAATGCATGTATTAATGCAACTTTTTTCTGGAGACTTGGCCGACCAAAAATTTGCTGCACAAGCGAATATTTAAATATCTGATAAACTTGTTAGCTCGTATCTTAGAATAATCAATTATTTGTTCTAACTCGGCCCTCCTGGCACCAGTGGAGATATACACAAATACAGTATCTACTGCATATCTCCTCTGGTGCTGATGTATATTTCACGGCAAACTTGTCTGAACTATGAGTTCATAGCACTTTACATCTAGGCAGACGGTTGCTCAGTGAAAGAGTTGAATATTCCTGGAACTTGTACAGACAACAACATTCACAAGTACACAACTGTAACAGATCTGTACAGACATTGGGCAACTGAGCTTTTACTAAAAGATGTCTTATGCTCTTGACATTTGTGCATAGTATCTTCTCTACTGTCTCTGCACTACTTTGCAGGTCAATGGCAACTTATGCCGACAAGATCTTACACTTTGCTGAGGGTGTGGTACTAACTGAAGAGGAGACAGTCAAGTTGGGTTGGGATTCTGAGCTAGTCCAGTCCACCTGTACCTTTGCAAAGCGTCTGTCTGAGATAAAATTGGATTATTCTGACTTCTGCTTACTCAATGCATTAATACTGTCATTTCCTGGTAAGCACATACTTTTCCGTAATTTCTGCCTTTTCAAGGTATTTTTGGAAGCATGCTACTTTTATTCAGTTTTAATACTCTCTGCATTTCTTGGAAGGCACACGTACACGTACATACACACATTAATCTTATATCTGCTTTCTGCATAGTTGTTAATCTAGCTGCCCAGCTCTCAGAATCTCCGCCCGGCACGTGTGGTAATTTTGAGCCTTACCGCCCGGCACATATTTCATTCCCGAGAATTTCTTAAAAATCTAAATATTTGTCATGTATGTTCCTATCTTTAGCAATTATAAGATACTGTGCTTATTTGCTCGTTTTAATCCACAAATACTTCGAAGTAAGCTTAAAATTACGCACCGTTCCAGGCCTATAATTGAAAAGAACAACGGCAGCCATTATGACCACATATCCCAACATGTGAGGCCAGCTTCGTATGCAGTATTCCCTGTACTTGTACACATACACACGCACGATGCATACACTGCACATGTAGATGTACAGTACACGTACGATACAGACATGCACATACACTAAAGCTCCGCTCCTGAGTGTGCCGATACTTCAAGCAGTGCCACCCTCATTACACCAATAAATGTCTGTATTCCCAGAGTCGCATTCCAGCAGGAGTAGATACGGCAGATTTTGTGCGTAGTATCAAGTGACATTCTCTTTCTCAGGACTTGTATGTGTGGTACAAAATTCACATTGAGGTCTGTGTGTATGAGGCAAATGATAATAGTCATGCGTGCTCATGTTTTCCTGCCGCTTGTCAAAAGTTTTTGATGAATGAATCCACCTTCGCCTGGTCAAAGGCCATTAAACACATTTTGTTTTTGACAGCAGAGTGTTTTGACTGCTAGCAGCATTCAGAGATAAATATATCTACATGTAGAATTATGGAACAAAATCGTTTGAATTTTTCTTCAGAAAACAACATTTTCAGATCTTTTGATTTTTTCTCAGTTCTGTTTTTTTTTACAGTAATGAACAGATAACCTTGTGTAAGATTATTTGTTCTGCCACTTACTTTATACCATTACAAAAATATATGACACAATTCTTTCATCCTGTGTTCATTTGTATTTATTAATAATTCAACACAAATTCCACTTTATAACATGCCTCAGAAACCTGATTTCCCCCCTGAAAGAAACAGAATCCTGGAGCTTTAGGGGGCAGAGCCCCCTTTACCCCACCAGGGCGACCACCAGGGGCCCTTGAATGGGCACTTGACCCCTGGCCATGATCCGTGAGAGCTCCTCTCGCTGTGCTTCGCCAAAATATTACCCAGCACTAAATTTTGGCTGGTGATAACCCTTGCATGTATGCCATTGGAAATGCATACCGAAGTTATAGTGTAATTTGTTGCTCCAGTTATTGAGTTTGTCATAGTTGTACATGGTGAAAGTGTTGTGAAGTGGGTCATACTTGTTCTTTGCAATTTCCTCAGTACATATGGAATGACACCAGTGGGTAATGTCTGTGAAGAAAAGTTTGTTTGTGTGGTTTCAGATGCAGCAGGGCTTACAGACAAAGAGTCAGTGACACGCCTCCAAGCTCGCTTTATGGACTGCTTCTACTTTTATTGTCAGACTAAACACCCCCAGGACACCAAACACTATGGCAAAATGTTACTTCGCCTGCAAGCCTTGCGGGCACTGAGTGCTAAGGCTGCCAGTTGTTTCTTTGATCTGATTGATAGTGGCTCACTGGCAAAAGATGATCTTGCTCAAGAGATGTTTGAAGATGGCTTCACATCACTGTAAGTGTAGCTTGTTGGTCCGTACTTTTCAGTGTTGGTCAAAATATTCAACAACATGTCCTACTGAAGTCGCATTGTACTAAATGTCCTGTTGAGGATTAACTTACTGCAGGATTATTGACATTGTACTAACAACTGTAGAAAAGAGTGTCCTTTTTTTCTTTGAAAGAATTTCAAGCCTACATGTACATTGTTGATATAACACTAAGGAAATGAAGTGTACCCTGTGACTTTGTTCCTCGTTGATATTGTCTTAAGTTCTGGATGTAGGCTCATTTGAAGTTAGTCTTCATAGTACTGCAAAATTTCATCGCAGCAAATATAGATGATCTTGTAACTTGGTTAACAAATAATGCAAGGTGATTATGGTGAAGCAAGTATTTTGTGAGTCTAAATATTTGTCTTGTAATTTATGTTATGACCTCAGGCATTCATATACTCGGTATGTAACTTAATTGACCATTGTTCTGTTGTACATAATACTGTCATAATAAAATAGAACAAAGCTGCTTGCCTAATATGTGCTACCTGCATATGTACAAATAATTGTTTTAATGTACTCAAAATCTCAAGAGAGGATACATGCACATGTGCGTATTAGAAGAAGTAAAAAGAGATTAATTTTATTGAACCTGAATTGAGCTAAAAAAAGGCTTAGTAATCAACAAATCATTAGTGTGAAAACATCAGCATGTACAGTCAGGGGCTAAATTGGTCAAGTACCATAGTTAACCATAGTTGGACTAACTCTGATTGAACGCACGCTAGTTGACAATGGTTGGATTATTCTAGTCCATTATTTGCGACCAGCCTTTCGAGGTAGGTCACATTGTTGGTTGCTGTAAACCATTTTTAATAGCACAGTATACAGAGGACCAGTTACAAGAAAAGTACCAGAAAAACAGTATGTCACCAGTAAACAACCATTTTCACTTCAATTTTTGCTATTTTACCCTCCCTGCGGGCACCTTTTTTCCCTGAAAACGCTTGACTAGGGTTGTTCGCACTTCGACTTTACTGCACACGAGCTTGGTATGTCATGAACCAGCCACTAGTGAACTAGTGGTCCTTTATGGAGCTTGCCCCAGTATTGAGTTGCTGACTGCTGTGATGTATGATGATGGCAGTGTTTAATTCTGTCAGAGGATATAGCATTTAAAAAGATGAGGCATGTACTTTTCGGGTGTTAAAAACAATGTTCAACTACACAGAAGTCAAGAGTTATTTCTCTTGGGAATTATTGTTAATTTCTACTTTCAAGCTCGATAAGCAGCTTCAAAAACAGAAGTCTGTATTAATGTCAACCTATTAGGGATATTGCATGTATCTGTTGCAGTGACTGTCTTGAAGCAGGAGCTCATTATCAATAGTCTTGGTACTAAGAGTTTGTTACTGTACATAAATGATGTCATGCAAGATGGTACAGAAATGACTGTATTGGTTTTATGCATATACGTGTTATGTCATAAATACACCAACATATATAAGTACATGTACGTACATGTATAGAGTATGTCTTTGTGCTATGACATCATATGAAGAAATTATCGTATGCAAGACAGAGGAACCATCGTACATTATACTTGGCACACAGAAGATATGATAAATTTTTTACACTGTAAATGTACATGTATTTCATTTCTTGGAAAGTTCTGGAATATGAGATGGATCGGTTCTTATTACTTCCAGAGCCACCAAGAATTAAAAAAAAATTGTAATTTTATTAATACAATGTTACTCATTGTATTTGGACTTGAAAAATCTTTATGACCTTGTTTATTTTGGTTAAATGGATGTGCAAGAAAAATATCCCATTACAACTGGGGCATATATATGTATAGTGCATGGATACTGGTGCTATAGTTGACGTGTGGTTATATTTTCACAAGAGGATTGCAGTTTTTGCTGGTGTGCTGTATGTTTGCTTACTGTTGTGTATAATGTCAGAAAAGCTATTCAAATTTTAAATAATGTATTCAAATTCAAAAGTACTTATCTGATTTTATTTTGCACAGTGAAAATGCAACTCTAGAGGAAGTTTTGAAAATGACCATATGGCTCTGATATGACTTCTTACTCTTCGTGTTAGGAATTCCAAACAAGTTCCTTTATCTTCAATATATTTTTATCAGAGTCATTTAAGCAGTGTATTCTCTAAGACACTTAAGCCTGGTTACCATATGGTTGGTTGTAAAGTACAGGCGTGCAAGATGTGAAGACACGAACGGAAGAGACAGTGCTTTACATAAAGAGTGTAATATTTGAGCATTGAGGAGAAAATGAGCAAAATTTGTGGAACTAAGCAAGAGGGACATCGTTGCACGCCGGCCATGCCAGCGTGTGTGTTTGTATGGTGATGCCACAGCTACTTGATGCAGTCGGCAACGTTGAACCTGGCTCAACTTTGCCGATCGTTCGTGAGTTGGTTTGCGTTTGTCTGCGTTGTTGGCAACCCCTCTGTTTGGCATGTTTCCATAAGTCTGTGTTGCAGTTTAAGTCTTGATTGCATTGCTATCTGAGTTTCATATGTCGATGTGGAAACCAGGCTTTATATGTACACAGTCAGGAAATCTGTTGCAGGAATAAAGAGCAGATACTGTCTGCCCATGTAGCACTGCTGTAATCACATAAGACTCTAACAAGTTCTGTTACAGCAAATGCAGCATGTACTTTTATTCTGTAATGTACCAATCATTAAGCCCTGCTTACTGTGCACAATGCACATAAATACACCACTCAAGAGACACTTTGGAACTTTTGAGTCATGGGTAAATGCACACATGTAGAAGTTCAGTTGGCCAACTGATTTAGCAGTCATGGCAGTCTCACTCAAAACATGCTAAAGGGTGTAATTGATCCATCTTCAACAACAACAAGCAATTAACCGGGTTTAGGTACACTCTATGTCCCAAAATTGACTTGGACTTCCAACTGACACAGATTCAGTGGTCTTTATTGTAGTCAGTGTAAGCTTATTATATAAAAAGCAAGCTCCTACCTCACAGTTAGCCCGTGGCAGTGGCTGACAGAACACACATGCATCTTTAGGAAATAAAGCCACTAGTTGACGGCTTCCACTGGTGCATATGATACTGAGCTGACGGTAAGCTTCCACTGTGCTTGTGTTATCGAGCTGATGGCTTCCATAGGTGCATGTATACCAGGCAAGATATGGGATGGAGGGGTACCCCCCTTACATGTCAAATCCCTATACACACTCTAGACTATTGTTACCTAACAATAGAAGTCTGTAAAGAATTCCTGAGATTCCGATCAAACAATGGACAAAACAAAGGCGGGGGGGGGTGTTTCTCTCCGTCTCATATCTTGCTTCAAATGGGTGCATGTGTTATTTTCAGCTGCTGCGAAGTAATTTTGATGTGGCCTTATTAAAGTGCTACAAGTCTTACTTATATCTACTTCTCCATGAATGGTCCACCAGTACAGCGATTAGTGGGACAATGAGCATCCACCTCGAGCACATATTGGTTCATCAAAATGTAACACACAGTGGAATACAAAGATCGACCTATGGCCCCTTCTGTCCTTTAGTGAATCTAGATCTGCTACTGCCACCTGTTGCTAAGAATGGGGGTTCATTTAATCTGAAAGTGGCTTACAATTTCACTGTTTCCACAGGTAGCTATAATCTAAAATGTAGCATTCACAATTCACTGTTTTATATGCACGATGACATTCTTTCTTGCCATTTGATCAATTTGCCCATATTTGAAAAACAAGCCGTTATATACATTGTGAACATGACACAATAGTTTTGTCTGATTTTGTTATGTACATTTACTTGGGCAGCTCTTAACAAAATATAAGTACACGTATTCAGAAGAAAATTTAATAAAGAAAACAAAGAAAAAGTAACTTGTTTCCCAACAATCTAGTAATCACTTTAACTGTTTTGTACCTTCTGAAAACAGTGTGATAATGCCGAAGCAACAATAAAAGTGTGGTAGAATGTTTTTGAGCCAAACAAATCATCTTGAGTCAAAGTGGTTAAGGGAAACCACATAAAGTAGCTCATCAAAACATATGACCACTTGGAAGGGTTAACATTGGCCAAGTACATGTACATTAGTTACACTGAAAATATTTATCTTCTAGAAAGGTAATCTTTTACAGTGAACATGTTTTGTGTTTCAATGCATTTTTTATTTGATTCTGTTAAAATATAATCACAAATCTTCAGAGAAAGTTTATGAGAATTAAGTAGTCTGAATAAAAGTGTCATTTATACTGCATCATGAAAACTTAAATTCTGTCCCTTTGCTTTGTAAAGAAGCAATTTGTGAGTTGTGATAATGAACTGACCCATTTCACGGCACAAGTCTCATTCTACAAATGTAGTCAAGATACCCTTACTTATTTCCTCGGGAGTTTGAGCAATTAAAATGTTTTCTCAGTGAAGGCATCTTGGTGTTTAGGCACTGAACGATGGCAGCTTGCTGTTGGCCATACACTGTGTGGTATGTTGCCTTCCTTGATGGGTCTTTGAGTGCGATTTCAGATTGCAGACCAAGGCAAATCGCTTCCCACATAAAACACAAACATGAGGCTTCTCCCCTGTGGAAGACATTGATTTAAATGAACATAGTATATTGATCGTCAACATTTTTCCTTTTACTAAAATGTATTTCCTTTCATTTTGAAAATATCTATAGGTCCTGAAGGCAGGAGATGTGGGGAGAGAGGGTTTGGGTCTGAGGAAGTCTTTTAAGAGCCAAAATGGACTAACTGTGGATGTACAAAAACACAAAGGAAATTTAAGGAAGAAAAAACGAAGAGGACTTTATGAAAAGGGTTTTAAAATTTTGGGAACTTCAAATATTAATTTTTGTATAGACATTCAGCATCTTCCCAGTTAAAACACTGAAGAAGTGATAAATCACGGAATAGGACAAAATTAGCACAAATGATAAATTACAAAAGAAAAATTAGAACCGAATAGCACCATACCACTGTAAAAGATAATTGACAAACAACACTTCCCAACATGATCAAGCTGATATCAGGCGACAGACATCTTTTAAACTGCTTGCCAATTAGTCCTTTTTAGGCCGGAATGTAATTGATTTTGTGAACACATGAAAATAGGCTTTGACCTATAGTGTATAGTGACCTATGCTCTAACAAAAATTACGTAAATTGAAACCGACCTGTATGAAGCATGATGTGGTTCTTCAGGTTAGTGTGCTTGCTGAATCCTCGATTGCAGAACTGGCATTTGAAGGGCCAAGAGCCATTGTGGACAAACATGTGGCTACGGAGGTCGCCAGGAGTTGGGAAAGACTTGCAGCACATGGTGCACTTATGCGGTTTGTCCTGCAGACCAAAAGAAGTAGATTTGTGCTTAAATGGAAACAGTTACGCGGCAAATAGAACAAGTATTAAAACACTCTTTCTTTGGCTTTTGGCGGTAAGTAAAATGGAAGAACTGTCAGCGAAGCGAATACAATTCTCATTTTTTTTAATTTCTGTGTATTTACAACCAGTCGAGCGATCCTTAATATGCTTGCACGGTTACTTTTTGAGGACGAGGCTGAGTCCACAAGTACACGAGTACTCGAGCTGGGGCCCTTGTAGCGCCCTCTGTTGTTTTTTAACGAACAGCCTACATCCAAATACACAAAAACATAGAGGCCTATTGACATTACAATTTGTCGGTTCAGACTTGGGGAAGAGTACGCATGAAGTTGAACAGATGACAGTTTATATAAAATCTGCATACAGCCTTTTTAAAAGATGAACCATTGAAGCAGTGGAAATACCATAGGCCTCAACATATGGCAGTAGATTCGGTGGTGTCCTTGATCTTTTTTCCTCAACCACTACATATCATTATATGTTATGATTTAATGATATTCCCAAGCTGAAACTGTCACATGTAAGGTGTCCTCGTATAGCTCGAACAGCAAACTGGCTTATAATGGCACACAATGACAAAATTACAGTTTTTTTTAAATAAAATCGAAAAAATAGAGCTCAGGTGTACACGGGTAAATAAGAGCATTGAGCACCAGTTGTACTATTGGGGGTGCAGGTTGGGGTCTTTTGAGGTCTTAGACTTCCCCATACTTTTTTTGTCCACCATCAAAGCCGTGAAAGGTCTGCCAATTTTCCAATATTCTGTTATTATTGCTTGGTAAAATTTATGTCTTGTGCCACTTCCCATTTCTTTGTGCATCACTGGCAGGCGAAGGAGAGATCCCTATTGCACCTCATGACCCGAACCAAGTCTAGTTCCCTGGCCTTCAGATGCAATCATAGGGAACAAGAAGCTATCAACATTACTGTATCAATTTCTTCAGCACCCAGAAGTTACCATCAGCACCTGAGAGTTTCCGTTTGCAAAGTTGTTGCATTTGGCACTACATATAACTGAATATAAATTAGAATTTTAGATTGAAAGTAGTTCGCAAAGCTTTTACGCTTCTGCTAACAAGAGTTGGAATGAAAAAATTAAAACAATGTGATATTTCTTGTTTCTACAAAGATCGTTCACTTGGAATTTCTCTGAGCTGTCTCACAGGGGTCCTGGTCCATCCTTTTGAACTGAAATCTTTATGGAAGACATACTTGCCTAATGATACACTGCATTTAGCGTAAAATTGAGATTACTACGGTGAATTATACCTTTCTGTGTGTCATGCGGTGGTAGTACAGGTTGGAACTAGCAGTAAATCTTTTCCCGCAAACACCGCAGACGTGAGGTTTCTCTCCCGAGTGAATACGACAGTGTGTGTTCAGGGAACTAGATGTACTGAAGGCCTTGCCGCACACATTGCAACTATGTGGCTTCTCACCTGAAAACAATAATTACCAGGATATTAAACTATTTTGTTAAAGAACCGTATATTTTTCTGTGGCGCAACCGGCACATCTGTACGATCGCCTGATTGCGCCGTCTCGATTGTTCGATCCTGAACCAAAATTTTAATTTTACCTGTCCTTTTCAAAACAGTATTGCACAAATTTAAATGAAAAAAGAAAAGACTCCCAATCGATATCGGCTGTTCACCTGGGTTATAGGCCTATTTCATTGAGACTTCAATGCAAGATCGCTGGGAACCATAACATCGGGCTTTGAGAATAAAAAGGCCTCGATTTTTTCGAGCAATAAAGTAGTTGTAGTGCTCGCCGAATCTAAATCCCTTTTCTTGGTGACTCTGGGTGAAAAATCGCAATATCATGTTTCGTGTTGTGGTGGTCCGCCACGTTAAATTAATTTAAGTTTGACTGGGCTTTTTGAACTAAAATCAACGTTTGAAACCACTGCCGCGCTTACGCCGTGCCAGCGTCGTGCTCTATTCAAATTTATTCGACACGGCATAAGCACGAAGATTGACATGGGCCTAAGCTGGACACTTTACGCGAAGATCAAACGATCCTGCAGATTGACTGATGGTGCTAGCATTTTAACAAGGTGGGGGGGGGCTGATATGATTTGGGGGCCAACTGAATGAGAAACAAGGTTTAAAATACGAACGTTACATTATGTATCTGCTACTTATGTTGTTACATGGGCATCTGGCACTTCTATGTTAATATGCATATCATGGAATCACCTGTTCAATACAGACCAAAATAATCCTGCCTGATCCTACCGACCTGTAACGTCGTTACTTAATGTCTGTAATTTTGTAATGAAACGCCAACTACTGTTTGTGCGACACCCCAATAAAAAGGGCTTAGTACGGACCCGTATGAGTCCTCATGTGTCTCCGCAGGAGCGACGGTCTGTCGAACGATTTGCCGCAAACTTCGCACGGCAGCGATGTTCTTTCTTTGCCGCGACGCGGTGATGTCCACAGCGGTACCTCCTTCCTGACGTCGGCAACTCGAGCACTGGTGGGGTAGCAGAGCGGGTTTGTCAGCCTAGAGCTGGGCAGAGATATGGTACTCCCAGAGTATCCCTCTGTACTTCGACTTGGTCGGTACGGTATCGCTGACCACAAGATATTGCGATCTGCTTGTTAAAGACGAACAAAAAATGCATGCATATTATTTGTGATGGAGAGAAGTTCTGGTCTATACATTGATCAGACTCGGTATATATTAATAGAACTTAAGCTCCCCAAGGAAACCAGGGTTTTTCTGAAGGGACAACTCCCCAAATTTAATAATCACATTTCGGAAATAAATAAGTTTGGACAAGTAAAAAGTGCCAGCCCTTAAAATGAAAATATGCAGTAATTAAGGCACATATATTCTGGCACACGGTGTAAAAAAGCAGTAAAGAGAAAGAACAGTATTCACGCGGATTGAAAAGACCCCTGCCTTTGTTCGTTTTTGTGAAGATGGTCGGGTCTCATGAGAAATGTGTTTAATGGAAGCACTACTGTGTTATTTCACCTTGCGGATGTGAAGATCGCGTAGACTGCACGATCGTTGTCTGGCAAGGTGGGTTGATGTCCGGACTGAGGATGCTACAGATGCTATGATCAGTGACTTGGAAGAACGCCATAAGCTGCCTGCATGCTGGCACGAACTCGATCACTTCAAAAACCGGCTTCCCTTTAAAAGGAACGATTAAAGTGTAAATCATGGGAAATCAACCGTTAATAAGGCCTAAACGTAACAGGAAGTTGCCGTGCGGCGCTCCGACAGGTTTAACTTTTTTGTCTGTTCACAGGTGCCATGCACCGTAGTTATAAACTGGGAGAGGCGTGGCTAAACCTCTCAGCGTAATTTCCAAGGCGCAGAGAATCGCGGAGGAGACATTGTGTGACGTCATCTGACAAAAGTGAAACAAAATGACATCTCTGAGTGCGAATGTTTTCGAATGACTTTTTTTTGCACTGTGCAAAGGTTTGCACTTTTTGAAGCCGAACTGTTCCTTCAGTTCGCAATACGTTCGCTCAGCCATTAATTTTTGTCGACGCCGGTCGTGCCGGTATGTGTTTTTTATGAGCTCCAATGATGACCTGACGCAGACAGTCGGTACCGTTAAGGTCCAACTTGCCTATTACCAGCGTCTTTGTTCTTTCCATATGTTTGAGTATCGTTGGGGTCTTCGGCGATGGGAGAAGTCTTAAGAATGACCTCTATTTGTGCGTGGAGAAGCCAGAGACTATTTTCCAAAGGAAAATCTGGTAAGTACTAAGTTAGCGAAAGCAATCAGTCTGAAAAAGACTTGAATTGTAAACTCCGTATTGGCTTGCAGGTTACTGATAGTCTCACCTTTGATCTTGTACACTACAACGTTAGCGTGGTCTCGGCTGTCTACTGATCGCAGGAAACAAACCCAGTTGCAATGGCGCTCATAGTACTTTGGGCCCTTCCGAATTTCTTCGTAGCATCCAAAATTGCTCCACACCTTAAAATAAACCAAACGGACAATTACATGTCTTTACAATTTTGGCTGCGTTGTATTGCTTTCCACCTGTCATTTCTTACTCTTTATTTACTTCAATTAACCAATCGAGCTTTCGTGCATGAAAAATTTATGCATTGTGAATTACTGAATGTCATATCTGTTTATGTGTTTTATTTCTCATGCCATCTTTGACAACCCTCCCTACTCCGTGTAGAAGTTGTAGATTAAATTTATCAAGAGACTCTGAAGCAAACCTTAGGAGCAGATAAAAGGTACATGTTGAAATTTGCCCTGTTAAAGCTCATGTTAACGTAGACGCAACGCATCTTAGTATTAGTCGATGAAAAATAAGCACATTTGTCTCAAAATAAGGATTAATTTCTTTGAGCAAAGAGCCAGCTAACAATCAAATTATTAACGTGACTGTGAAGTTCTCTGTGCACCAATGTAAACAATAAGCTGGGTTGGATGCCTTTGAAAATCGGAGTGAAGGTGGGTGGTGGTGCTGTCTGAATGACTAGTGGTTGCTTTTTCTGTCCTTGTACGTCGGACTCCCTACGAGAGAGGGCGCACCTAATCTGCTATCCCGGTTGCGTGGCGTTCTGATAGGCACAAAACTGTAGGGTCTACACAAGGGTATATTGGCACAGACGGGTCACTGTAACCTCTGGCACACTGCGAGGGAGCACTTGTGGATGGCTATCTCTACTGTGCCGCCAACACATTTCTCTCAGGCAGAATCAGAGCGCAGACGCTTATGCGAACTTGAAAGCTTCCAAGACCTACATGGTATCATAAGGCACAGAGTCGCAGCCAGCAGTGACATAATCATAAATCATAAGATTCAAGCACTGTGGTCTAATCTACTGGTGCCGGCGAAGGCGGCCAAGTGATTAATGACTGACACAAATCGGGAGTGTGTTTACATGTCCAAGGCTGTAATTTCTACCGGTTTGTGTCCACCTCTTGACCTGCAGTAACAAGATATACAATCGCTGTAATTCAGCTTGCACTTAAGCAACGGGTGAGAACCAGTAAAACAACTCAATGCCCGAAAAGCGACTTCAACGAATGGGGAGTTTATATGTCTGGATAACTTGTGCACTTGTTATCCAGCGTGTTACACAAGTTTATATTACTGTATCGCAAACAACCAAGGGCACCAAAATACACTGACATTGATAAACGTCGGAGGCAAACGTTTTTTTTTATGATAAAGGAAACGCTTGCTGGTTAAGAAACAAAGAAAAGTAACAAGGAGAGTAGAATATCGAAACGATAGTTTCCTATAAACCTGTAGGTCTACTTTTCACCCCATAAGATATGTTTTAAAATGACATCCAGTTATAATTGAAAGTGTTGACACTTTCTGTTCGATTTTCCCACCTTAATATCAAATCAAATGTTCCATTTGCGATATTTTGAGGAATTCTGATCGTAAGGGTAGTGCACAACGCTATGAAGGCAGATGCACTGCATTAAACTCCGGTACATACATGTATATCAAAAATCCGGAGATCACACGCACATTCGAGTGCAGACATCACTCATCGTGTAAGATATTAATTATCATTGCTTGAAATAACACTGTTACTGACTAACACGCTGATCATTAGATGTTTGTGTTGTACAAATTCGAAACAAACATGCTGTAATTGCCATGTTAGTGTCGTCACTCGGAATTCTGGATCGCTTCATAATTGGCCTTGTCACTCAGCGCTTATGTCTCGTCTGTCTGATTCCCGCCGCTTAAAACAACTTGTTTTTGCCTTCGTGCTCCCGTTGTCGTCAGCTTCAAAATAATATTTATTCCCGGCATGTTTTCGTACCTCTGACATCGACTTCATCTATATGTGTAACTAGAACAACTTCGATGTTGATCGTGTAAGTTCAGTTCCATAATTAATGTCAAGATAACAAATCAGTATTAATTAGTTTGGATGGCTACGTTGTTTAGTAGAAAATGGTTTTCATCAAAGGTGACACATTTTACTCAGCTATTTTCCTCATCGCGGTGTCAAGAGTAGACTTTCGTTACTGAAAACCTTATCTAAACTCAATAATTACGCCGGCAATGCTACGCTTAATGCAGACTGTGCAAGCACAATATCTCACCAGTTTACCAAATAAATTTAATATGGAATATAAACCTGCGTGCCCGATATTTCTTGAGCAAGTTTGGATAGTCTGAACAATCCATATTGCAAGTAAAACAAACAGAGAGCTGTCAGCACATACGGGCCTGCAAGTTGCATGGTCGTGACAGCCACTAAAGCTATACACACAGTTCTACACAAACAAATGAACGCAGTCAACACTCCTTGTTTGAAGTTACAGGTTTTTATGTTAACTGTGCGTTGTATATTTTGTAAGTGCAACAGGTCAGGAAATTGCCGCAGATTGTTACACTTGATGAAAGGCAAAGGCTCAGTCAAGCCTTACGACAGTCTACATATTGAGCAAACAATTCTAACTGCGTAGGTATTAGTGAGACTGGTAATTACCAAAACTTTCCCTGCTCATCTCATAAACCTTTTGTTTAGAGCACCAACTAGTCAGAATACCCAGACATAATTCCTTAAAGAGCAGAAAGAGAATATATTTTTGTAACAGTTGTTCACTTATTTACAAAGGTGGATCCCAGAAGGGCAAACAGGGGCCATGCCCCAAAGAGCCTTTTTCGTTTCGAAAAATATTGGGAGAAAGGCCATTTTCTTGTTCTTTATTTCGCCTCCGCAAGTATGTAAACAATTTCCCGAATATGTCCTCATCCTTCAGAAAAAAAATTAAAAGGTTATATTAAAAATCTGAATTTTTGCTCCCTAAAAACAAGTCTCCCCAAAATTTAGTTCTGGATCTGTCCTTGTGTATTTATTAATTTGAATTAACTTGCTTCGTATTTCACAATGCCATCTTTAGTCATAAAGTGACGACAGGCACGTGTAAGGTGTCCTGAAAAAGGTTATTTATTACGTCATTCAAGCCAATAGGATAACTTTCCCCAAACAACAATTTGTCCCATAACCTCGAAAATTTCATCATGGATCCGCCATTGGCCATCGGTGGCATTTCGTGTACATTTTGGGAATAATTATGTAAATTTGTTGCTAACAGTATTTAGGAAAGAATTGTACTAATTCCTATATACACATAATAAAAACTACTTATCCCGCTGGAATCTTTTCATCATGTGTAAAGGCTCTTGCGACAGTTCGTTCAAAGCGAGGAAAGCTGATCCGCAAACGGTACCTCAACAGACTTTCTGCGCAATAGCTTGGTTAGAGAGAACCCCGACTGTTATTCTACCGAATGGTTAAAGCTCTGCACGAAACTAGACTAACACCGATATCATTAAAATGCCTCTTCAGTTTTTAGAAAAATAAAATTCTTTCAAAATTTCTATCTGTTTTCAGTACTTCGACAATGCGGAAAAGGGTGGGGGAAGCCGAATGTTTATCGTAAGGTTCATTCCCATTTGTTGGTATTACGTAAACACGCAATTGCTTAAGTAACAAGGTATGAACGTCGTTTACGAACAATATACTTTCAATTACAAGGGGGAGATTGTAATTGTCTATAGTCAACAGCAACGGATTGGGTGGGTGTACTAACGTGTCAGTATGGACCTTAAACAACCGATACCCTTGTGTGGTTGAGTGTGGTTACTTAGAGTTGCCTTCCCCAATCAGCCGCTGAGCAAGCAAAATGATGATGGAAATAACAGAAATTATAAAGTTCCTAACTTTTATTCTCGAATTGTTCAGAATGCAAGAAAAGTTAAAAATAACAGATTTAAGTTTCTTCCGGTGAATGCCCCAAACACGTTCAGCAGGGCATGCCTGGCGCCTAAGCTTGAACACTCAACCCCCCCCTTTTACGTCAGCCTCTGTTTTCTGTGTGCTAGATCTGTCATGAAAACAAAACAGAAATCGGAACACTGAAAAACAACTGGCTCATGAAAACGAAGAAAACGAAGTTCATAGAAAACAAACAAAGCAACCCATGCATTTTGGCCGTACTCCATGTGGGAGGGAGACGAAATACTTCCTGTTCTCATTTCAAATAAAAAGAAAACAGGGTAACTTATCACACTGTAAAATCTGCAGTGTTGAATGAACACCACATAGTTCTGAAGGAACACCATGCAGTGTTGAACGAACCGAATGCAGTTCATGGTTTATGATAATTGGTCGTCTGTGCATTGGCGGGATCTAGGGTCGCCAACGGGAGCCATCCTTCCAGACAAAATAAAAACAAAAGCAATTTTTTGGACAAATATTTTGTTCTGTTTCATTTCCTTTTCTTGAATCCCAAAAGCGTGCAAGAAACCTCTAAATAATTGTGGTCACATGTCTTAGAAACAGTTCACATAAAAAGTTTCCAAATTTAGTTCCCCAAAACAATACTGGCTTCCCTAAAATTGATTCTGGATCCGCCCTTGCGTATGAAGTTGCACGGCATATCCAGGTTTGGATAAGGAGTACGTGCTACTAAAATCCTCCTTATTTTCTTATTTTTGATGGCCCAGTTTGGTGGGGATTTAGACCTCTTATTCTGATATTTTTAGAAGATTTTACCTCGCTAGCCCAGCAGAAGTAAATTTGAAACAATCTTTTCGAAGAAACGAGGATAAAATTTGTGTGTATTAATCTTTGTTTTAGTTAGCAACAGTGGACAGTGAAATACCTCATTTTCAAGAAATGAAATTTGAATGGCTGAAAAAAGTGACGATTTCCCAAGTGGTCTGAATCTGAAACGTTCTAAATTGTCTATTTTTCAATTATTTGAAAAATGCACGGATAATCCCTACAGTGTTCTAGGAGTCTTAGATTTGAACCTCACTTCATTCTTTGTTGAAAACAATTCTAACTGCTAGGTCCGTAAAGAGTGAAGATGCTCTCTGGGAAAATTGTAAATTTTGGCTTTCACAGCGAAATTACAATGTCTTTATTTGTGTATAGTAGGACCGAGTTGGATTAGTGGTCCTGTATATAAAGATACTAAGATTTTTTCATAAAACAGCGCAGTTTTTGCAGTGGATTCACATGCACTGCAAAATCTGTGCTGCACCAGTGTTGGGATTTTATTCGATGCGAACTCCACTTTGTACACAACGTTACGCCAAAGTTGCAAGTTACTTGAAACGTTGCGGTATGCGCAACGTGCAAAGTAAATCCTGTCCAACTTTTTCTTCCCACTGCATACCTACTACTGAAACGAAAGGGTGCCAAATATCGCCACCTTCGGGTATTTCCTGACCAATTTATAGTTAAGGGAATTAAATGTCTTTCGAAATGTATAAAATTCACACTTATCACGTAAAATCTGTTTGATAGCAGTACTGTTATTTTCTACAAGAATTAAGAAACACGGCTTTGCAGCGTCTTTTCATCGCAGGTTTCATATTACGGTATTTCTGTTACAGAATCTAGTGTATATACCAAATTTGAAACGATTGCCAGCTGAGCCCACTAGAACAAATCCAAAACTGTACTTCAGAAAAATCGAAAATCAGAAATTTTATCTATCATGACCACTGCTAGGAAAGGGATCGATGGATTTTGCCTGTTTTAAGTCTGATTCTAAAGGAACTAAAACTTGTTGCTCATGGAATCTATCCTCTTGGTGCGACTTACCTGAGGGTATTGTCGATTTCCTACGGCGCATCCTAATCGGACACAGACCGTAATACCTTGGGTAGTAGTAAAGCGCGTGCCCGCATGAAGTGGTACCGCCGTCCATACGCTCAACCCCCACGGCCGCGATGGCTGCGGCTCGGTCGCATGACTACGGACCCCATCGCCGTCTTCAGGAGCGGACCGATCCACGCTTAGGAACAGCTCTTTGGGAAGAACCACGAAAGTGTCCATGGTCGAAGGACGGACAGCCGAATGTGACTGAAAGTTTGTTCAGACCTCGTGCACGCAAGGGCCCGATGGTTCAACGGGGTTTGTGGGGCAATGCACATGCGCTGGACCAACAAAAGAGAATGACGACTGATGAAAATGCAGATTCCACCAATCAAAATGGAAGATTCTGAGACTAAGAGTAGCTTGGCTGTGGAACCTCTAAATGCATCTTTCAACATTAGAAATGTATCAATCAGGAACAAGAGTAAGATTCGATTTACCACAGACTTGCAGACGCACCAGCAGTTAATCACATTAGTGGGCAGTTTATGTAAATAAATTTATGTAAATAATTTCATAAGAACGGAGTATCAAAACTATGCCAGATCCGTCAATGGCTAATTAATGAGGTTATGCTACTGGCATGTGCTTCAATCCTTCATATTCTAAGGGGGTGGAAACTTACACTTTCAGTGACTATTACAAAGATGCATATTTTCGATTTCTGCTTAAATGTAATTTGCAATTCAATAAAAACACCAGTTTTCTCAACTGGGTTCGTTGTCACGGTCTAGCTTCAGACTTTTCATTTACCCATTTGCTCAAATAGCGCAAAAAGAAATGATCAATGCTATAGAGGGTGTCCTAAAAAGGAAACCGAAATTAATTAATCTGTTTCTCGAAAGTGCCAAATTATTTTAGTAAATGGTGAATCTGATCTGTTTCAGGATCACGTCCATTTTCTTATGACACCCAGAAATCCATATTTGCGTCACAGATGACTTAACGGACAAAGTCGGAAAGGGCTTTGCACCGAATAGCTGTCTGGATGTTGAATTCATACCGTCCACAGATGGCTTTTTGTCAGAATTACGCAGTGTTAGCTCATACCTCCAAAATGTGTAATACCATTTAAAAGGGCAGAAGTTGAATTGCATTGAAAGAAATGGGGGGGGGGTGGCATGTTGAAGGACACTGCGGTTAGGCTGCGGCAAGAATAACCCCCTATCTGTGTTTGTCTGTAGTGTATTTAATGCACTCCTTGCAAACGTAGTGGTGCATTTGGTGCAAAGCCATATCTGACAATGTCCATTAAATCACTTTGTGCTCAGTTATGTTTCATACGAAAGAAGACATCACATTGGAAGATTGTTCACCATTTACAAAATTAATTACTCACATGCAAGAAACAGATTATTTCATCTTGGTTTCATTTTTAAAGACACCCTTTCAAAGAGACCAACAACAAAAAGAACAAAAAGAAACTTTCTGACCGTCTTTCAGAGGATCACAGATAAGCCTATACATTTTTTAATGAGAAAAAATACTAAGTTGCTTATTTGATAATACAAATTCATATACAATTGTACAACTAGAAAATATCTACTTAAGGTATCTACTGACCATTAAATGAAAAAGAATATCGAGTCAATTTCGGTAATTATTTCAGTAATGTCACCAAAGGAAACTCTGATACCAAACAGCTGTCCATCGTTTTCGAGTTGTACCATATATGGCTCTTCTTCTGGAGTGATTTTCATTCTTTGGAGAAGTTATCAACTCTTTACCGAGTGGTTTCAGTCTTTTGGAGTGGTTTTTATAAGGGTATAACTCTTGTCAGAAAGTGAGTTTTTCTCTCTGTAGTATTTAGAGGGTACATGGGTATAAGGGATGTGTATTTAAGGGAAGTACGGGAACTGGCTTCCCGGTAAAACATCAGTACTTGGAGAAATAGCAAAAGGAGCCCATCGAAAATCAAAACAAGACAAAAAAGCACAAAAAAGACAAAAGAACACCCCCCGTCAACCCTGGAGAGAGCCAAGCAAATACATGTATACCCAATCTCATCTTCGGAAATTAAAAACTTTTATAAAATTACTACTGTTAGCAAATCTCTGATGTCAGTGCTGAGAACACAACTGAAATGGATATATGTTTTTGAATTTAAAAGTTCTCAACAAAAACGTTCAAAACCTTTCTTTTTTACCGTCCGGGAGGCTACTGAGTAATTTGTAATGTGGGCTACCCAGTCCCAAAGTTGAAAACTAGTGACAACGGTCATACATTCCTCTTACAAAAATATCAATCTGACCAGTCTTAATTTTACAGAATCTGTCAATAAAAACAATTGAAGTTTAAAAGCGTAAGTGTATGACATACTGTTTTGATACTTCCGCTTGACAATCAAAGCAACGAAGCAAAACGATACCCTGGTATTACAAATAGTTTTGGGATTGTCTATTACGCATGAGGATTGGTATACTTTCCTGCTAACGGGAACTTTTAAAATATACATGTACGCTCTAATTTCCTAACTACAAGTTTGGTGAATGCCAAATTGAAACTTCTGGTGTCATGCCTCAACAGGACAGGTTCACTTTAATGCTGTGTTGAGAGAACAAAAAATACATGAAAAATTTGGACATCGCGCAATAACAGACGTCAATACAAAACGACAACGAACGAAATGTTTCTATTCGTCAATGAAATGGAAAAACGAAAGAATGAAATGACTGGAATTTGAGGGAAAACCTCTGATCCTGTGCATACTCACATGCAGCTTTTCATAATAAAGACCATTACCATAACATATTATTAATCAAAGGAATAACATTTTCGGGAAGTACATTGTAATTCCAACATATATTTATGAAAAATTTACGTTTGAACACTAATGACCGTGAATTACAGTGCAATTTTGAATAAATGCATTCCGAATGCATACAGAAATTCACACTTACTCTCTCGTAATAGAACTCGATATAAAAGTCCACGCAGACTATCCTGCTTGTAGTAACAAATCATTCGGCCCAAAACTAGTTTCCTTTATAACGTACCAGTTCAACATAAGCGAGCTATATTTTTCATTCATTGGGTTTATAAGGAGACTAGAGTCCCCTTTGTGAAATGACAAAAGCCTGGGGAGGTCCATTGGGGGATCCTCTTTGGGGATTCCCCAGCCATTACATTTCAAATCCTCCTCTGATAACACGCCCTTGCATTCAGCTGCTAAACACACAAAACACGTTTAGCCAAGTCACACGAATACCAGATAGTTGCCAGCCATAAGAATGCTAACATTACAGTAGGCAAATTTGCTGAGGAAGTGCCTTCTGCACTTAGCACATTTTTGTACACAGCACATGCTAGAAATTAACTCCTAGGCCCAATAACACTTAAATATAACCCTGGCTGCTGCACATAAAATTTAGTTGTCTTATTGAAAATAACAATGTAGTAACGTTCCACAGTTCTAAATGCAGTTCAAATAATGTAGTTTGTACCATGCATTCACTAACCTTACGTTTTTCCAGATGAAAAGTTTAATTCCTAATGAAAACCATTACATCCACACATAATCTTCTGATAAGCTGTATTTTCTCGTCCATTGTTTACGTGTAAACACAAATCAATGTATGTCTTGACTGTGCCTACGAATGCACTTTGCCGGAACCTGACGAATGTGAACTTGAAGTTTTACATTTTGAACCAAACAGGGTCACAAAGCTAAAAGTGGCAATTCTACCGAGCATGTGTGCAACTACATAGATGTGCTTCATTGGAACGAATTCACACAATGGTCACAATGTGACCATCACAATGTGACCAGCATGTACATGTAATAAACGTGAAGGGCGTACAATCCCGCTCTCGATTGCAAGTGCAGAGCAATTGAGAAAAACTTTACGATGAAATATCAACAGGTTCAAACACTGAATGAAACAGACCCTGGCCAACAATAAAAATAGTAAAGACAAGTTCTCTCTTTGACCACATGCAGTGAAGAAGTGATTCAATTTTATGCACAAGTCACAAGACCAGACATGAGACAAAACATAAGACCGGTCACAAGACCAGTCACAAGACCAGACAAAAGACCAGTCACAAGACCAGTCACAAGACCAGACAAAAGACCAGTCACAAGGCCAGTCACAAGACCACACATAAGACCAGTCACAAGACCAGACATAAGACCAGACAAAAGACCAGTCACAAGACCAGAAACAAGACCAGTCGCAAGACCAGTCACAAGACCAGACATAAGACCAGTCACAAGACAAAACGTAAGACCAGACACAAGACCAGTCACAAGTTAAAGGGTAACAACCACAAAGCAATGTTTGTGTTGCAGTTCATTTGAATAACTCGTGCCTTAAATGAAGACTGAAGTGTGTTGATCTCATGATGGTTTTATAAAGGGGTCTTGTATGTGATGGTCTTCAAAGATTTACTAGTTTGGCTCCTGGTAAAAATCCTGCTCATGAACATGTGCATGTTGGTTATCTGCATTCCACGTGTTCATCCAGTATGGCACAAGAATTTCAAATGCCCTGTATGCACTTCACAAGTGCCCTATACTGACAGCCACTGTTGCTATGCACCTGATTCCCCCGCAACATGAAGACACTCACTCTGCTCACTGCTGCCCTCATAGGGCCGATTAATTCAGTAACATTTTTCTTGAGCGGTCACTGGATAGAGTTTTGTTTGAACAGTAATGCAGGTCAACACTACCATGTGCACATGACATGTGCACCTAGAATGCAGATAGGAAATTCCTTTAGGCAATGTAGAATGCTTCGCCACATCTGTACTTCCTCCAACAAACTTAAGCCATCTGCAGAGAGGTTGTGGGTAATTTAACAACGGGACAAAAAGTAAAAAAGAACAGGTACTGAGTATCTCACACTCGCTACAACATTCTTACCCCACATCTCTAAAATAGATGTGTATAAATGTCATGGTTAATTATTCATCTGTACATGTGCTGTCTTACATTGTCATCTTTTACAGTTCATATGCAGATATACAGGCATCTCCTTTTAAATTAATTAAAATACCTGGCAAGCTTGAAGGGACACATGAAAAAAAGGAATAGACTTTGACTACATAAAAGCTATATACAGAATCTATAAACATAAGCCAAACGCTGGGGAGGGGGGGGTCTGCTTTGCAGTGTCATCAATGAGAACCAGCGACATCGTACACTCCAAGATCAAGGTGCTTAAGACACATTTTGATGTGTCAGGCATTGAATGACATGGGAAAGGAATCAGGTAAAGCAAAGTTCAATGATTTCTTACAAATGAGGATTTAGAATTCGGAATTCAGATCCAAATCCAGGATCTCAACAGCAAGGCCTTACACTTTTGGACAAAAGAGGGCGCTATAATGATGCAACTGGAAAAACAAACAGATGAACATGTAAATGTAAGGTTACAGAAGTAAGATGAGATGTTGACACTGAGCAACTAGTCTTTAATATTCTTTAAACCTACACCCTTACAACACCCTCACTTGACTCAAAAGCAAGACCTATTCTTACGTGACATGGCTCAAGCGCATTATTGCAGTAGGTATACATGTACATGAATACAACACATCATGCCTTTATGCAATCAATTCACCAGATGAGATCTGTGATTTAAGCACACAATGACTGTTACTAGGATACGGTGAGTACTGATCGATGCATTGAGGAAGCAGCTGTGATGACATGGCTGGTGGTTCTTGGCAGGTGATGGGAATCTACTATCACTGGGCTGTGTGAGGAAAGAGCAAAGGTAACATTTAGAAACTCAGTCAAATCTGCCTCCTCAGTGGTCAACATGGCAAAGGAATTACAAGCCAAGTCCTATGTACTTGGCATTGCCCATCAGTAATGCGATTTCTATGGGCATGTGCTATGCCTTGCCAGACATGTAGTTAGCATAGTTGTGGCATTTGAATGCTTGAGGGCCCCACACACCCTAAACCTCCACAGACTAGTTGGAGCTGGTTTGTGTGTACAAAGACGATAGAAATTACTCAAGCACGGAACACGTTAAGACATCATTTGGTAGTGAATGGAGTATTTCTTGAGATTTAATAATTGTCTGTTATGCCAGGAAATCCCTAAAGTGTCTGTTAGCATGCCCTCCAGTGTGAAGTGGTTTAAATGGCATTCACCTTACATATGCTGAGGTTTCAATCCCTGATACACTGACACTTTCTCCACTGCTGGCCTTATTCCGAGTTGTCTGTATCTGTGATGGCTGCTTGCTGACATCTGACGAGGATTTGCATGATGATGAAACTCCCCTCTCTCTGATCTGCTGATGATTGCTGATGACAAATTGACCAAGATTGCTGCAGATACCTGCTGAGACTGAACAAGGTGGAACAGAAACACTGACTGCAAACGGATAGAAGTCATGAAACTTGGCTCAGACACGGCCCTCTTGCTGTGCTAGTGAGTGGCGCCTCTCAGGTGTGATTCACCCAGCAAGCACTATTTAAGCACTGCATGCAGTGCAGGTCTAACATGGTGTACTTCTAATACTTACAGGAGGTGGCAGAAATGCTGTGGTGTGTCTTAGGTATCCAACACTAACTTGTCTCACCCTCATATAAGGGACATGGCATCCATTTTTCAATATCAGCATCATGGAGTTTTTAACAAACATCATGTACATCTTTTGACACCAATTTTGTATTATTCTCTCATTTCTTGATTTGAAAGTGGCAGAAATAAAGACAAGTGACTGACTGTGCACAAAAAGTGGCCTTCACAAATGACAGATTAAAGTCATTGAGAATGATGAATTATCAAACGCTTTGCTTCTACGTTCTATCCTCAATCAGTTAAATAGCTCTCGTCAAGAAATTCAGGGTCATTGTTTTAGTGCTGAAGGACCTCGTTCCTTCAGAAAATCTTAGAAATCCTTCACGGTGTGGTTACTACAGAAAAGTCTATGTGGAGAGCATATCAAAAGAGGAGAGGGAGCTTGCCATGGATCAGTCAGTCTATCCAAAATACTGATAGGGGCAGGAATATGTCCCTACCCGGAATGTTAATGGTTTCATTAAGGGGTAGCAGAGAGCAACGAGATGACAAGGTTTGGGGCAAGTTGGATTGCTGAAGACAGAGGTAAATCAAAGTAGTACCTTGACATGAACGGTCCCTGTCTGACAAAGTCAGGTGTAGAATACTGGATTTGGGGGCCTTGCGCTTGCGGCTTCCAGCTAATTGATCCCGCCTTGAACTACAGAAGCCTGACGATTGCTCTGGTAAAAATGAAGTATACGGTAGTTTTAAACACAAGTAAATAGACTCACATAGTGCCTTGTCAATGTACTCCTTGAAATGCATACTTATAATATTTATGTCATATTAGAAAATCTGTGTAGTTACAGCTGTTTGAATATCAAGAAGTGCCCAAACAAATTTCAACATGTCATTGGTTAATGCAAGATTTGTTTTTCACTGCTGATTAAGATATTTTGAAAGTTCCCTTTTTAATTGAAATGCCCCATAGGGTGCCTGACAGCTGAGGGCGCTGTTGTAGTGGTGCCACATTTCAGCACACCATGTGTAGATTAACAGCTTTGTGCATAAATTACATGTATAAGTAAGCTAAACTAACATTTTTGAAACAGTTCAAGTGTACTGAAAGTTCATTCAGTGACTGATGCTCTTGTTCTAAACACAAAGTTTTCACATCCGAGTGTTAACCACGTAAGAATAAATATTAGCACTAAATGAGCTTTTGTATCAAATTAGTTTTAAGGCAGGGGAATTAGCCCATACAAATGCAACCAGTAAGTTGGAAATCTTAAGCAAGAGACCTGGGACACCTTGTCTGGTGTCTGACTGACGGTGGTTTAGGTGAAGTGGCATGTCCAGTTTTTTGTGCATGTTGCAAGCTTACATGTTGATTCAATATTTGTGTTAAAAGGATCCCAGTGATGAACTTTTCGTGCAAATTTATAACCTTAACCACTACCAGCCGGGGACTCCGAAATCGGAGCCGTATGGTTTATATGTGTGGCCGGGGTCTCCGAACTCGGACAAAGGAAACAGGGCCCTGTAACAAATGACCATACTCCGAACAAAAGACCAGGCTGCTGGGCATTACCGACATTTTTCACTCTCAAAAGTGGTGATAATCCAGTGTTATTTTGAAACCGTATACCAGGGTTTGGGGTATTTAGAGCAAGCGGATTACCACCGCAGCGATGAGTCACACAGCACCGCTGCATGCTAATCTGGCCCCTATTGAAAAGAGGTCAGCAGTGCACTGAGCCAGGTTCGTGAACAAAAGACAGTTGTANGGGCAGTTATCAATGTTGATGACGCTGGGCAGGGATATTTATCATTTTTTTCTGTTTTTCAAATTCTTTAAAAAGTTCCTATCTTCATTTACTAGACACTTACAAACATATGAAGGTCTGTTTGGTGGCCCCTCTAGCCTGACAGACACATTCTATTGATGCCTGAGTATTTCAGCCAGGCCTGCAGCCTTGTAAAAAGAGCCCAGATTGTGCGGTGTTATATAACTTTCTTTTGTTCATGAACCTGGCTCAGTGTGCTGCTGACCTCTTTTCAATAGGGGCCAGATTAGCGTGCAGCGGTGCTGTGTGGCTCATCGTTGCGGTGGTGGTGGAGCGCTTTTGTTCCCTGTGGAAATCCGCTCGCTCTAAATGTCCCAAACTGTGGTATACTGTTTCAAAACAAGGCTGGATTATCTCCAATTTAAGAGTGAAAAAATGTTGGTAATTCCCAGCAGCCTGGTCTTTTGTTCCGAGTACGGTCTTTTGTTACAAGGCCCTGTTCCCTTTGTCCTAGTTCGGAGACCCCGGCCACGCATATAAAGCATACGTGTCCAGATCCGCATTTGCCAACCTGTTGAGTTTAAGAGTTATCAGTCTTGAGCAGAAGTATCCTTTCAATGGTTGAAAAGAGCCATGTTGGTGGGCCATGTTCATTTTGTTAGTAGCCACATGACTGTCATGTGTATTTCATAGTACATGTATGTGTAGTTTGTGAACCAGCGACATGCAGTTCCCATCAAAGGAGCCTGCAATGCTATGAAAATTTATGCCCTCTCTTGGTCCAGCGAGGGGCTCATTGAACGGTGCAAAACATTTCAAAATTGTCACTGATATCCAAACACAAAACTACCTTTGAAAATAAAGAATGTTTGAAGGATACACTCATTTGTTTACTTTTGACAAAATCTCTGTCAAAGGTTTTGGGGGTACTGGGACCAGAAAAAACATGTACTTGTACATGTAGGTGGCCGCAATCTTCATTTCCGTGCGGGGAATATGAAACATTTTACACCTAAAACTACATGTAAGTACATTGGTCTATTGCATATGATTTAAAAATTTTGTATTCCTACCTCATCCAACAGCGCATTTAGCGCCAATCACAGGATGAAGTGATAAATAAGAAGACGATGAAGAGATGTTCAGTTTTAGGGTGGGAGGAAATCCCCAAATGAATATTCCAGGGAAACCCATGGAGTCAGGCAGGGACTGAAATGCTGACCTAGGTGGGATTCAAACCCAGACCAGAGGTGGAAGATGAAAAAAGAACCACTACACCAACCTTGCTAGACAAGTTGTCCTCGGGACCAACAAGGCTATTTGTGAAAAAGCCAATTTCCATATTGTAAAAGAGATAAATAGAGACCCCTACGGGGCTAACTGTATGGAAGCATATCCCGAGTGCATCAACAGTGACCATTAGAAATGGTGCGAATGTGGGCTACATATGCGGCTCAGGAAACCTGGGTGGTTATATCAACGATTCTGCAGTTATTCAAAAAAGCTATGTCTGTATCGCGAGCATCGCGAGTCTGTATCGGGATGAAATAATCATACGAAGTTGACTTGACTCAAGCCTGGATCTCTGTGATGTCTGCGTTTATGCTTTGGATGGGGGGCTGTGCAGCTACCTTTATTTCCTTGGCGCCCTCTTGTGTCCATTTATTACTATGAGGTGAGAAATCCTGACTTGACGAACCTGCCAACCGTTTGTACAGAGTGATTCACCTCATCTATCCAAACAGGTAGCAGCCAATCAAATTGCCGGACTTGTTATTACATCGTTCATACCTGCATTATACTGAACAAGTCCACAAGTCTTACTACTCTGATTGGTCAAAATTCTGTACACATTATGGAAGATTATGTCATTCATTTGCAATTATAAATAACTACATATGATTGATGGGGGTCTGATTGGCTTATCCGTCAAGTCAGACTCAATGACTGCAGCTGGTGACACACGTTGTACATGTACAAATGTTGGTGCTTTGACATTAACACTGAATATCACGGAAAGGCGAGCGGCTGAGCGTGATGACCTTGTACTGTGTACAGTGAAGGGATGGCTGGTTGGGAATAACAACACAAGTCTGACTTGAGTCAAGTCTACAACATGAAGCTGTGATTTAACCACCCAATTTATCTTGGCAGCATAAGTATCCCATCTGCATACTATTTCTAATGGTTCCTACCTACCTTTGGATGCACGTCTGGGGGAAGATTTGCCTTCTTTCTTGATGAATGTGGCATTCTTGTAGAGACAGGTGGATTTCTTGAGACGATGGCATTTTCCCTTAGGTTTGAACTGATCAGGTGAGTATTGGGGAAGGCAAGCAAGGCGAGCCTCCACATCAATCTCACCATAGTCACTGCAATTCAAAAAGACCACGGTTAGAAATATCTTTCTTTTCCTTTTTGGGGGAAGAAAGTGAAATTTAACAGAAACTCGACTTTTGAAATGCTTTAACACAAAATTTACAATGTAGACGGAATGAGAGGGCAATGTTAAGAAAACCATGTTCAGTATAAGAACTGCCTTTGTTTATATCTGGACATCACTACGCTACCATAATCACAACGGCTCTTTTTTGATGTATTACATACAAGGGTAGCACCAGAAAGAGACACTCACTAATCCAGTGAGTTGGGCAGTGAGCCACAGCCACTGACGGTTCTCTCGCGGATCTTTCTTCGGCTACCACGCCTCGGTTTGTCAGGGTTGGGCTCAAAGACGACATCATCGCCATCACTTAGGCTGCTTCCGTCTGGCTGCTTCCATGACTTCTTGCAGTTGAATGGCCGCTCCGGTCTCTGCAGGGACTCCAACATGCCTACATATGAAAAAAGATCTTTCACTATGTGCATATGATACACATCACCATCCTAAGGCAGAGTTCAACATTCTTAGTTAAAAGATGTACTTTGTGTCGGGGAAATTTTAATTTGTAATAACAGGTTTTGCTCTTACATCGACGGATATTAATTGCACTGTACGCTTGGTGTTTGTTCAAAAGCTTGTGAAAAAAAGTGAAAACCCGTTATTAAAAACACAACATCTCCCTGACGGAATATACATCTTGTAATAATCTGACTTGGACTGGCCAGTTGACTGATGTCAACCCATGACCTCCTGCTTACTTGTGCATCTGCACAGGTCATGGGCTTAAGTTCCACCCTAGTAAGCTAGTAAATTTTTTTGGCAAGCTCTCAGACAAACACCGAGTATACAGTGTAAGGGCAAAATGTTATTAAAAATATTCTAGATGTGGAAACTTTCAAGGTGTATCATCACACCCCATGCTCAACAAAATTGGCTAGGGTCTACCTTCCTCTATCCTATAGTATTCTGTAAACTTTTTGAAGGATCTGGGGAGAGGGAGGGTTGTAATTGACGGTGGCTGTGGTTTAAAACACATCCCACTTTTTTATTAACAAGTTTAAGAAAAATGCATTGTTTAAATGCTTGACGATTGCAGCAATTATCTCTAGAATCCCTCTTATGCTGATATGTTTGACACTGTTTGCTTTGATTGTCAAGGCCATGGCCTGGGTTTTGG